GAGGAAGATCCAATTTTGAAACGTTGTTATATAATCCGGAGACGACGTTGATGATGTATCTTTGATTATGTATGTTTGTTCTAGGATTTTCTTATGATTTGTAGGAATTTAGACTGTAATACACAGGAAGCATTTTTTGCAAGTCTTGTTGACTGCTTGGTTTGTGGGTCAGACTCTCACGACTGGTCTTCTTTATACTTGTTCTCTGGTTCAGTATAAGGCAGCTTCATGTGTTGAAGTGAGGATAAAATCATTTCCCATACTACAGTTGTCAAGAGTAAGTGGAGGACATGCAAGAAACTCAAAGGGGATAGGAAAAGAAGTGCACTAATATTATTATTTAACAACCGACTGAGGCAGATTGTGTAAAACCGTCATTCATTCTGTTTCATGCAGAACAATCCCATTTAGAATTGATGTCCCAGTCTCAATACAGCACCAGACATAATAAAGCTAATCAAAAGCTGCAATCCTGACAGTATCTTGGATACAACCCAAACTTTTAAAAAATAATGTCGCTGTAGCAGTGTCAACTTAAGGTCATGCCTACTACTCAAGATAAAGGTCTTGTCGTCCTAGTGGACAGCAGCTCAACGGAAAAGGCAAATTCCAAGCAGGGGATTATTAGGAAAGAAACTGACAATAAAAATGCCAATATTATAATTAAGATAGATCAAGATGGGTAGCCATGTTAGTCTGTCTGTAGTGGAAGAAAAAAAATCTAGTAGCACCTTAAAGACTAAACAGAATTTATGGCAGGGTACACAGTTTCGTGAGTTACTGTTCACTTCTTCAGATAGCTGTTAGTTTTTAAGGTGCTACTGGACTCTTGGCTCTTTTCTAATCTTAGAATGCCCCTGTATAGATCTATGGTGTGGCTTCATTAAGAATACTGTGTGCAGTTATGGTCACCATATCTCAAAAATATTGAAGAGATGGGGAAAGTACAGAAGGTGGCAACAAGATTAAGGGGCTGGAGGTCTTGATTTATGAGGAGAGGCTGAAGGGTATGTGACTTTTCAGCTTACAAAAGAGACGATGGGGAGGCATGATAAAAGGTGTATGCAATTGTGCAGGAGGCAGAGAGTGGGTGGAGAGAGCCTTTTCTTCCTCTGCCATGATACTAAAACGCAGGGGACACCCCACTATGGCTTTAAGCCCAGATGGCTAAATGGAACCTCCATGTTCAGGGGCAGCAATACCCCGAATACGAATTCTGGCGTGCAAGAACACCAAGAGGCAAAGCCACTTCAGGCTCCCCCACACTCCTTCCCCCTAGTAAATCCACAGTTTGAGAGTACTGAAATCAAAATCTTGGCCGGGGTTATCCACTGGTAAATATCAGGCCAGCTTGCACAGGCAGTCACTCTTTCGCAGGGGTGATTTTGGGGAAGGTGCAACACGACCAGTAACTGATACCCGGGGAATGAAATGAAAAGTCCCCTTTTCTGGCACCTGTCCCCGCTGTACGGCTAAAAGTAACTAACCAGAGCTTCCAAGCACAAAAACACCCCCACCCCCCGAAAGAAAGGGCAAGATTTGAGTCCAGGAGCACCCCAAAAGCGTGCAAGCTTTCAAGCCCTCCAGAAAGGCTCGTCCGGCTGGATATTCAAAACAAAAACAAACGAAACGTAGAAAAGGGAGATGTTTCAAGGCACCGTCTTAAGAAGTCCCCTTTTCTCTGCCTCCTGGGAAATGGGAATGGCAGGCTGGATTAGGCTGCACCCACGGCATTCTGGGAAGAAGAAGCCAACAAAAACATGGGCGCCCTCCAACTGTAAATACAAAGTCGTTTTATCGTCCCTCTGAGGCTCGCAAACCCACAAAAGGCCCTTAAGAGGCCGGGAGGAAAGGACGCACATCGGAGCTCTACCTTCTGCGCCCCTGAAGATTCTCCGTGCGGTGGTCCCGTGCAGAAATTCTGCAGCCTCCTGCCGATGGCTTTCGTGAGGCTGGCTTGGACCGGAGGAATTCTCTGCAGAGGTTTGCACTACGAGGCTAGGCTGTCTCTCGTCTTTCCTCTTCCGACCGGCTCAAGCCCCGTGTTCCTAAAGGTAGACCGATTCCTCCCCCGGCTGCAACCGATCAGCGAGCCCCGTAAACAACAACCACGCAAGGAAAGGAAGAAGCAAAACTCTCTTTACCTGCAGCAGCAGATCAGTCAGGTGCGCTGAGAAGAAGAGGCGAGGCGGAGGAAGAAGAAGCCGGTCGGGAAACGGAATCCCCCGCGGGGCGGCTGGAGACACGGTTCAGGGGCAGGACGTCACTCCGCCCTTCCCTCTCCCTTCTCTTTTAGGAAATCTGTTCTTGGCTTGGATCTCCCTACTGCTGTCGGGAACGTTCACCTGAATGTCTCGATCTCGACTTGTCTCTGTCCCGGTAATGTGGTGAGAAGCTCTGAGTTGGTGAGGTCTTAGAAATAGAAAGCAACAGTCCAAACTGTTTTGTGCTAACGATTTACATTTATTTACACAATTCACGCTAAGCTGGTGTATATGCACTGACAAAGTGCTTCTGCCTTTGAGAGCAGAGAGAAACAGTACAGTATATTCACAGATACATACAGTTCAGCAGTGAACCAATCAGCATTCAGTGCTGAGTTATTATGCACAGGAATTCTTGCTCTGGTCAGAACCGGTATGACCTACATAATGCAGCTGTCATGAACTGTCAGATCACCAGCCTGATGTGTTACCAAGCAGCACTCATATGTGAAAAGTGAAAAATACTGAGTTTGACACGTAGCATAGTGATCAGCTCATAGTTTATTATACTCCAAAACCAAAGATGATCTGGCCGGTCTTCCACTGGCTTATATCCGTGCACACACACACACACACACACACCACTCCCAGTGATAGGTTCTATTTACACTACCCAGTCCCCATAGGTCCATCCTAGGATCCGCATGAGCCCATTGGTCTGCGTCGGGATCCTACCTGTTTATTGTTCCAGACCCAAAGGTCTGTTTGACCGCATGGCCTTGCTAGCGCTGGCGTTGCTCTCTTAATACATAACAAAAGAAAAAAGGACGATTTATGCCACATACACCCAGACAACACTATCACTGGACCCAACAACACCATCTCAGGTGCATTCACTTGCTCATCTCCTAACGTTGTATATGTTATTAAATGCCAACAATGCCCTTCAGTTCTCTACACAGGGCAAACAGGGCAAACTTTATACCAAAGGATAAATGGACAGAAATCTGACTTCAAGAATCACAAAACTGAGAAACCTGAAGGAGAACATTTCAGCCTCCCAGGGCTCTCAGTGGGGGACCTCAAAGTCGCTGTTCTATTGCAAAGGAATTTCAGGAACAGACTGGAATGGAAGACTGCTGAATTCCAAGTTATTACAACACTCAGGACAATGAAACCCCCAGGGCTTAACAGAGATAAGGTTCTTATCTCAATATACATGCTAAGTCACTCAGTTCTCACTTATACCCAGAATTAAACTTTGTTGGTCTTAGTCCTGGATTCAAACTTAGTTCTTACACCTGTTTGTTAAATCTTCTATCTGTATGTTAATGTGTTGCTTTTCACAGGTCTTACCCATTGCTTTAATCCAATCTCAGCTATTATTGCTCAGTTACTTATGCAAATAGTCCTTCCTCGCAACTAACCCCCCTCTACCTAGATGTAAGCTTTGAGGAAGTCTGTTTCAGTGTATCTGAAGAAGTGTGCATGCACATGAAAACTTATACCCAGAATAAAACTTTGTTGGTCTTAAAAGGGCCACTGGACTCAAACTTTGTTCTGCTGTTAAGAGAGTGATACTCACTCAGTAGCTTGGGAGCCACATGTGGCTCTCTGACATTACATCTCTGTGACTCTTCTGGGCACGGTCCCCCGGTGTGGCACCTGCCCCATATTTCAGGAAAGTGGTCAAACCCCTTCTGCCTAGTAAGGCTTGTGGATGGCAGCTGGTTCCTACCTTAAATCAGAGGCTGCTGAAGGAACAGGTAATGTACACGTAGCATCTGCTGGTCTGATTTATACGGAAACCTTTCAGCTTGAGAAGCCCAAGGATTCAGACAAGATCCTTGGAAAGATGAGGCCTACCACCAGTGTCCTTGACTCTTGCCATTCCTGACTGATAAAAGCTGCCAGAGGGGGACTGGCTGAGTGGATAAGGGGAGTGAGAAGTGCTACCTTGAGAGAGGGAGTTGTGCGGCCTGTGCTCAAGAAGGCGGTCATTAGACCAGATCTGAAAAAATCCTCCCTGAGCCTTACGGTGTTGAAGAACTTCTGGCCAGTCTCCAATCTTTCATTTTTGCATAAGGTCCTAGAGTGGGTGCTTGCTGGTCAGCTCCATGGGCTCTTGGAACAGACTGATTTTCTAGGCCTACTCCAATCTGGCTTGAGGCCAGAGTTTGGTACAGAGATTACTTTGGTTGCCTTAGCTGATGACCCCCACCAAGAACTTGATACCATGTATGCCTGTATTTGCATTTCTATCTGTACTGTGCCTATGAAGTATTGATCAAATGTCTATGTATGTGTTCCTGTGGGCACTCAGGACTTTTTGTTATGTGTATCTGCTGATGTGTGTGTCTAATGGCTGGCCTTTCACCTCATGCTGCCCACGGATGGGCATTGCTGAGATGCCAGCCCCAGAACACATGCAACCCTGGAATTCCTCGAGGGGCCTCCGGTCAGAGAAGGTCACCTCAATATCCACAAGGAGACATCAGGAGAAGCAACAGGCGCGACCGCCTTTGATGGATTTTGTGGGAAAGCTCAAACTCCCTCGCTGATATCTGGTTTGGGCATCAAAAGACAATACCGTTTTATGGCTCTGAGGACCAGGCTCATCTTCACTCCAAAGGTTGCCAAGAGAAATGGAATCTCACACCTGACCACATGGCCCCGCCTGGATGCAGGATAGAATATCCTCCGATTGCCCCCTTGCCCCGTCAGGAGCACGTCACCCCTCAGTAGACCTATAGCTTTAGAATAGAGGACGGATCTAGAAGTTTTATGGCAGGTAAAGCCATGCCCAGAACAGAGCTGATAAAAGGAGAAACGCTGCTTTGTTCACTCTCTCTCTTCTTCTCCAGCGTCTGTTCTTCCCCTTAGCGCACTAAGGTGCTTCAGGTGACTCTCTAAGTTCCCCGGAGTCGCGACCAGGGAACGCGCACGTGGCTTAGCTGGACTAGCCTTTGTGTGTTCAGAGCTCACCAGTTGATCCTTTAGGTGTCCCTTCTTTCTTAGGAGGAGATTTCTTCTCAGCGGACCTCAGATAAGTATCAACCGCATACCTGTGAAGTCATTCCCTTTATTTGATGCTTTTGTTATTTTTCATGCTTTAATTGTTTCTATATGCTATTGTAACTAAGGAGCTGTGTGAATCGTGTATGCATCTGTTTTGAATGTCTGAAGAAACTGCTTTAGTAAAAGGCAACATTTATTCATAAACCTAGCGTGTTGTCTGACTTCCTGAAAGAGTGAGCGCTTCATTGGCCAATCTGACCTCTGGATACACGGGTTAGAACTCACGCACTGCCCATCCTCTGTAAGCAGAGTTGACTTGGGCTCCCAGAACCACATTTGGACCGGTTCTGGTAACAAACTAGACAGGGGAAATGCGAATACGCAAGATTGCTACGGCGCAGACATTGTCTCCAGATCTTGATGTGATAATTAAGAGCATGAGTTGCCAGTTATCAAAGACTGTTAAATAAACACAATATTGCGAGAGTGTTAATGCTTTGAGTATGTTTGTATTTTAAGTAAAAATATATCTTTGTGTTTGTCTTTTTATCTCTGCTACCTGGCATTACATGTTATGACACACATGACAAAGTTCCCGACAAGTTCCACTTGCCAAGCAGCATCAGGTGATGATATTAGCATATATTTCCTGTGTGTAACTCTGCCACAGGGTGGATAATTAGACACACACCCACTCAGGACACATCCATGATGGAACCCTCTGATATGCTTATGTTGCAGCGTTCTCTCAGGAATTACCTCGTGTTTTTGTCCAGCCTTCCTTCCCTTTGTTAGCTTCATGCGGTAATGGTGGCCTTCGAGATGGGCCTCAAGAATGTCAACAGGGCACTGTAGTAAAATGGGGTCCTATTAATCCTCATCTGACTAACATCCTGCAGGAGGCATTATGGTAATGAAGCTGTTTGTCTTAGTTGCCATCTTGTTCCGATTGTTATAATTTTAAAATTATAATTTTATAATTTTAATGTAATTGTGTTTCTTATATGTTGTAACTGCTCTGAGTCCACTTGTGGGGGTAGGGTGGGATATAAGTCTAATAAAATAAATAGGTAGCAACATAAAGAATGCATAAGCTACGGCCTTTGATTTTTGGACTTAAGGTTGGTGCCATCTAATGCAGGTCTTGAAAATGTGTTAGTTTTTTTATTTTTTGCTGTTTGTGTTTAGAGCATCGTGTTGCCTATAGATTAAACCTTTTGCTTTGATAAAATTTAAATAAACTTCATATGATTTTTTTTAAAAAAATAAAGGTTTGGTTACTCGGGACACTTGGGATTCAGTCTCGGACACCCTGACATGTGCATTCTGCACTTTCGTCTTCTAACTCCACAACAAAAAGGGCTAGAGAGGTTTTTAAATTGTGGCAATAGACCATTGTAACAGCATGATCTAGTGCTGTGGTGGCGAACCTATGGCATGGGTGCCAGAGGTGGCACTCAGAGCCCTCTCCGTGGGCACACGTGCCATCGCCCCAACCAGGCCCAGACCATTATTAAAATGTCGAATTCTCTGCCAAATAATCTTAAGCAAATGAAAGCATTTGGGATTGCTTTCCTTACTTTGTTTGGACCATCTTAAATTAATGTATGAGTTGTTTTTTCTAAAGTAAAACCTCAGTATTCAGGTTAAATTGCCATGTTGGCACTTTGCAATAAATAAGTGGGTTTTGGGTCGC